GAAACAAGCAAATTTAAATAGAAACAAGCAACAATCTACTGAATTAATTACTTATCTAACAAAGTCTTGAGTACTATTAAAAATAAATGTATTTCAGTAACCTTACTACTTCCTTAAAATCCATATTGCCATTTACAATCTAATATTTAGACTGACTTAAAAATAATTACAACTTTAAATTTTATAAAACTATGAAAGTTTAAGAATTAAAGAAGAATTTTATCATTTTATTTGATTAATTTCCATTTAAGAAAAATTTATATTCTGGATTGATTTTAATTTTATCCCCAGATAATACTGAATTCTCATATTATTATTTCTTTTGGTGGATTGTAAAGATTCTGTCTCTTGCTAGGATGTATTAATAACATTTTCATATACAAAAATTATTATAAATTCTTCATATTATCTCTTTTTTTTTGTGATTTCCTAATATTCTCACAAGTTTTAAGGCCAATCTTTATATTTTCTTAATTTAACTGCATGATATAAGCTAAGATTGTCAGCTGATTTCATGCTAGTACAGAGGGTTGTGTACATCATATTAAAACATTTTTAAAATGTAAATCATCAAGTTACATGACAACCACAGGCAATAAAAAAATTGAAATGGCATGTATCAGGACTAAATTTTGACCTTGTTGTCATTCTGTCGGTAGTATGATATGACCATAAATGTATCACTTTTGGGAATGGTATGTAACAGCCCTTTCTGAAATAAAATGTTCATACACTCAGATCATAAAGAAGATGTCCTCAGATAGTAGATTTTGAGTTTTCAACAACGGGATATCCTGTGTACTTCATAGCATTAAAAACAAAGGAATATTGATAAACTTAGGGCAGAAAGAGAGACTTTAAACAACATCAGATATGAAATGACCAAAAGTGGGGATATGGACTGTAACAATGTGTTGAGGCTACAAAATTAGTTTAATACAATGTACTCAACATCTATATATGTCTTATCTGAGGATGGTTAGCTTTGAAAAAAAGATTTTTCCTGCATGGCATAGATGGGACACAGATAACTTGAATCTTATATCTTGGAAGTTCTTGTGGAATAAACAATTTTGTCTGTGGTGACTCCAGACATCATATAATGTCTTTTATGAGACAATCATTATGTTATCTTGTAAAAAGTAACCCTGTAAAAGAATTCTAACATGTGTGTGGTAAGTATGTCATAGGAAATTTCAATGTATTTCATCATGCATTAGGTAAACCAGCAGACACTAGATTTTGATGTTTCAAGTTGTTAGACCTCCAATATAAGCAGCGTATAAAATCTGGCTTGTTAACAAAGTTATTTAGATAGCCTTAGCCCAAGTGCCTATAAACCATGCATCAGAAAGAGCCAGTCTGGAAAGTTAACATATCTTATTAACGAAAGAAGTTACTGGAGTTTAACCCTACCAAGACAGGTTTTCCTATGGTCAGGGGTCAAAGGCCATGTCATCGCATTTGTAGACTTATATTAAAAATGTTATTGAACTACTATTTTATAAATGTATGTCAATAAGGTTGGTATCAAATTGTAGATTATAACTCAAATTGTAGATTATAACTCAAATTTTAGTATTATACATCAGATAATTTTGTAGTTTAAAAGTAAATATCATAAAAATCAACTAAATATCAATTTTTGTGTGTCACGTGGTATGTTGAATGCAGCATTGATTCAGATTAGATGTTTGTGAAGTCAAAATACTAAGTCTATAGTTTCTTACAAATTAGAAACTAAAATTATCAATATTGACAAGCTAAAACATAAAATAGAACATTCTATCTTTTCTATTTTTTGAACATTTAGTGTATCCAATAGAACTGACCATCCACTACTTAAACCCAACCACCCATTCACATATTGAAACCACGAGTCACAATATTTCATCTAATTATTTCTCTGTCATTACTACAGGTTCTTTGAACTTTACATTAAAGAAAGTTTACTTAACTAAAGACTGCCTTACTCTTAACGACTTGCAAACCTCAAACCTCTTTAGATCTAAAATTATTCAAATTGTACACAGTTAAAACTCAACTGTTTCGCGATGTATGTATAATCATTTGTTTTTTGTTTTATCCTTTCTTTACCACTTTACAAAGCAAAACCAATACTATAGTTTTAGTTAACCCTTTTGCTATGGGTAGGGGTCAGAGGGCATGTCATCACGTTTGTAGACTTTCATTCAAAATTTTATTGAACTTCTATTTTACTAATGTATGTCAATAAGTTTGGTATCAAGTTGTATATTATAATTCAAATCTTAATATTATACAATAGTTAATTTCTTAATTTAAAAGTAAATATTAAAACAATTCCTACATATTGATTTTTATGTGTCACGTGGTATGTTGAATGTATCTTTGGTTCAAATTAGATGTTGGTGATGTCTAAATACAAAGTCTATAGTTTCTTGTGAAATAGAAACTCAAATTATCGATACTGACAAGCTAGAATATAAAATAAGAACCTCCTATCTTTTCTATTTTCCGAGATATTATTATATATAGTGAATTGACCAAAGTGGCCCCATCCACCTCTTTCATTTTTGAAAATACTTGCTTATGCACACGTACTTCGCCCAATGATGTGTGTATGACCAATCAAAAGCTCAATGTCCCCCCCCCCTCAAGTGGTTTTCTGAGCCTCTGCAAAGTATTTATGTGGGTTGTTGTTGTTTTTTTTGTTATTAAGCACAAAGCTACACAAAGAGCTATCTGCGCTCTATCCACCACAGGTATCAAAACCTGGTTTCTAGCAATATAATTCCGCAGACATACCGCTGTGCCACTGTGTGGCATTTACGTGGAAAACCCTTTCTTTTCATGGTAGATTCCAAGTGGTAAAGTAATATATTAATAAACTCAAAATTTTTTAGACCCAAATACAGCTTACTTACTAAGCCTGATAAATTATAGTGGAATTATGTGGTGTTGATATAGTAATTTATGATTTTATTATTTCAAAATGCATATGTAAAATCTAAAAAAAGTTACTTTGTTTCACATCCTCCTGTGCAAAATTTGATAAGGCTTAACAAATAATAGCAAGCAGCAAATGAGTACAAAGTTTTTAACTAGAAGAGTTAATTGTTTTCTATACTTCTTTATTTACTGTTTTATGTTTTAAGAAAAATAACTGAAATTTAATAACTTATTTGTAATAGTGTTCAAACATATATAATGCATATACAACTGAAATGTAACTGTATTTTACAAAATACTGGTCCACAAGAACACAGCCAAGACAGGTCACTTTGTAAAGGCCAGTTTTATATTATTGGATAAAGTAACATAAGTGCATGTGCACTGCATCATTCAACTTATTTAATGTTAGTCAGACACTGTTGAAAGGTCAGTAAAATAAAAAAATGTTTATATCTTATTATAATGGAGCTTACAATGTATACATCCACAACTCAGATCTCAGAAATGACAACACTGATCACCACCAACCATAACTGGGTAATATTTCTATAACTAGGCAGTATTTTTACAGCTGAGCAATAAATAAAACAATTGAAATTTCCACAAAAATGAAATTTTTCAGATTTAATCAATAAAAATTACAAAAAAAGGAGTAAATTTCAAATACAAAATAATCAAAAAACAAACTTAAAAAAACTGTTTTTCTTTAGTGAAAATCTCATGACTGTTGCAACAGAAAAGCAAGGCACTTTCATTGGTAACTGCATCTACAAAGAAATACTTTGTGATGTAATGCTGTGATGATAGCTCATTTTTAAACTAAAATTTCAATAAAATCCTTTTTCTCATGGATGGTGAACATTATTGAATGTCAAGTATGAGTACATTGTTGTAGAACAGTCACACAATTCCAGAAAAGGCCACAGACCCAATAGCTGTCCGCAGGAATTAGCAGTTATACCTACCTGGAGGACAGGTATTTCTGCTAGTATGTATAATGTTATAAGATTTAAGATATTTAGACTAACGATTTGTGGTTTTATGTTATAATTTGTAGTAGCTTTAGAACAGAAAAAGCATAATTTACATGTATTTCCTATTTTTTTTTGGTGGTTACGAGGTCGGTTGAATCGACCAAACCCATACAGAGATACAATACATGTAACAGATAAAAGTTTAAAAAAAAAAACATTTGGTAATTATCTGGAAGTTATTAGGAGTTTAAAGATTTCACACGTGAAATTTGACAGTTTTTGATGCATAAAAGTATTTTTAATCTTAAAAGTAAAAATTACTTCACAGGTTAGATAGTCAACATTCAAAAATAAAAATGTATGAGTAAATAATTAATTAAAAAATTCTAAAACTTAATTTAAAAAATCTGATACTTTGTGTACGAATGTCTTGTAGCATTTACTAATAATCTGCAAACTTTTGTGAAGATATATTTTAAAAATTTACAGTATAACTGCTTTATGGTTATGTTGGGAAATATGGGCTAGGTAGAATCCACCCACCCATAGTAGAAGGGTTAATGACCATGTAATTTGGAAATAAAAAACTGAAAAAAATATATGTATGTGTTATGGTCTTTAAGTAATGTTCAATGAAAGTTTTAATATTGAATCTGACATATATTCATTTCAAGTAAACTTTCTTGGGTCAACCACGCTGCAGCTACAACTGTATCTCAGCTTTTAAAATAAATGCTATTTGCAACACAAAACTGATGATAATTACTTGTAGGCAGTGATTGTTATTACCACCAAGCTGACAATTCAAGTAAGTCTCCATGTAAGATTCAATAATATACCAGATTTTCCAGTTATCATCAGTCTCCCCGAAGCAAAGATCACACTTCACATACACTTAAAAATGACAGTTAAGAATGTAAAGTTATGCACCATACATTTAATTATTATGCCAATTTCAAATAATATGCAACAAAATTTGAAACAATGCAACCTTTTGACTAAAGTAAAAAGAACTTAAAAATGACAAACATAATTAAGACAATTTCACACTTATTTTAATAATTTAGGAACATTTTGATATGCTATTAATTACCATGGAACAATAAATAAACTAAGTTCTAAGTAAAAAGTTACAAGTCTGGTTAACACTGGCTTAGACTTCACTTTACTAAGCCTAGAAATTCAGACTTTGACTATGCAGTTAACCACTGGTTGCACAGTAACATGTAAATAATGTGGGACAAAAACAAAAAAATGCAGCACTTCCACTGGCTTGGATTGGTCTTTGATATGAACAATTTTAACAACTTACGTTAACCAATAAGTATTCCTTTCCTAGCTTTACCAGGTGTGGTTAAGCAGTTTGCAATGAAACAATTTCATGAAAACACTTAAAACCTCCAAGCATGGTTTGCATCATTATCATATTCATAACACATTTACAAATGGCTTTTAATCAGCATTTATTACAACAAAGCTTCCTGAATGTTTTTTAAAAGTAACTCATGGCAAGACAAAAATATCTTCAAAAATTGGATCTGTTTGTATAAAAGTTGCTTTCAGGAAGTCTAAAATGCCAAACCTACAAAATCTAGATGGATGTTCTCGATACATCCATGGTTAGAATACAATGTAGAAAATAATGAATTTTTTGCAAGGTCTGCATGAAATCTAAGAATCAGATTTTTACTACAGCAAAAAATGTTATTACCTGTCTATATTGTCATTACAATTCCAATATCAAAATTATTAAATTTTACCTGAATCTACATTTCCAAGTCCAATTTCATTAAGAATTATTTAACAAAACGATCAAAATTTTCACACATAAAAATGATTTTACAAACACTTATAAACAGTAGATAATCTAATTCACAATGTTTCATAATGAGTCACAATTCAAAATATTAAATAACTTTTTTTAAATAAATGCAGTAGAGAATGAAATATTACTAAAAGAAAAAAGAAAAAGAGAAGAAATTTATAATTTAAGCAAATGTTCAGACTGATCAGAGGAAAATAAGTTTTGAAAAGTTAAGTTTTTATCCTATAAAAATGCTCAATTTACGAATGGTTTTATGCTGAAGTCCAATGTTTCTTTAAAACATCTAGCTAAGGAAAAACACAATATCCCAAGTTAAAAATAACACTTGTGATATATCACACAAAAATGCTTTCAAAAGCAAACTAAAAATATATTAACAACTTTTGGCACTGATCAAGTTGTCAAACTTGACAAGCATGAAACCAAAACATACATATATACACCACCAAACATAGATATGTTCTCATTACATATTGCTTGATAAAAAAAATGGTAATATAACAAAGAAAATAATCTGTGGAAATAACCTTACTGTAAATACCCATCAGATACTCCATTAAGTAATATTAGTTGTAAACTACACATAAGACAGCTGTGATAACTTACAGTGATCTTGAACTTTGCTAGAAGTTTGTTTCGATTCTTGGTGTTTTTTTTATGGACTGAAGCTATAAAATTCTTAACATGTTCTTCAAATTTGTCCTTTCCTTCATAAGCCATGACACAACTCGGCACAGTCCAACCATGCTGAGCTTCATGACCAAAGTACTGAACATGATAGACACGTGCAAGAGTCCTCACTGCAGATGAAGATACAATTGAAATTCAGATTGAAAAGTATTGCCATCTGTATTCAGGCACTACTACCCTTAAAACGTACAAAAAACATTACATCTTGTAATTGAAAATATTATATATACATAATACCACTTAAAATATCTGGCATCTGTTAGAAAAGATGTTTTAACTGGTACAGTAAAATATGAAAAAATATAGACACAAATATTTCTCAATTTTTGCTTCAAACAGTTACAGTTCAATTCTGTTAAATTTAAAAATACAGTTTTTCCTTTTCTTCTCTAGCTATGATGAATTGAGGTGCATGAAAGTTTGGTAAGATTCTGCATTAATATCACTGATGAATCTCTAATCAGCAGTTGAAACTTGGCAATTAAAAATGTTGAATCAAAAAATTTATAAGTTAAATCTCATCAGTTTGATAGCCTGTGACCATTGGTAGCCAACTTTAAATCATTTAACAGTGCAGAATTAACAATATTTGTCTCATGGTAACTTCCAGTGAAAGCATATACTAAGTTACTTTCTACTTGTTTTGTTTCTTCTTATAGTGGAAGGGAAGACTGATAAAGTTTATAATGTGTGTTTTGTTTTTCCAATATTTGTCATAACTGAAATAAAGTGAAAATAGGTAATTTGAAAAAAATTATCATGACTGTGAGATGATAAATAATGACAGATTTTTAAAGTTGCCAATACAGCTTAATCATTAGCTGAAGCCTTGTGCTAGTCAAAATATAAGTGGAGTCAGGTTTAATTTGGTTAATTTAAATACACAAACACTTGCAAAAATATTCCCTACACAAAAACATAAGGCTCAAATAACTAAAATTATCAGTAAAAGATTAAATCTGAACAACTGCTATAAGTCACACTTTTGGACATTTTTCTTTTTTTTAACGAGTTAACAACCTTCAGTCTTTCATTTTCATAAAACCCGATTTCTCATACACTGATCAAAATTAAATTTCACATTTTCTAGAAAAACATTGTCGAATATAGGTGTCAAGGTGTCCATTTTGCTCTGCTACTCTCCAATCTTACTGATCACATTTTGAACACTAGTTTTAAAGGTTTAGAAAAAGCTCTGGACAATTCAATATTATAACATTTTCTAATTGTTCCAGATATTCAAGAACCTTACTAAAATTGTAACTTATTATGCATTATTTACAGATACACTGAACAAATATGCATACATCATACTTTACAAAACAGTACATTGTCTAAATTATTATCAACTATTTTAAAGCACAAACAGAATAGACCCAAACTACAGAGAAGTCAGAAACAAGCTCTTACAAGTAGGTCTGTTTTTCATCTTATGTAAGGATGTTGCACTGTTGGAAAGGATTCAAAAAGGAGCTACCAAAGGTTGATTTCACACTTGGAGAGATTCAAATTCGATGACGAGGAACCCACTTTGAAACTAATAATCGTTGGAGATGGCTTGAATGGGTAATGAAGAAAAACTTTTAATATAGGTTTAACGACCTAATAATTTTGAGGTTAAGAAAGGATAACTGTTTATTGTTTTCGTGTTCTATGGTAAATTTGATATTGGGATGAATGGAATTTATGTGTTTAAAGAAAGTTAGTTTGTGTTCTGTAGAAGTGAAGCCAGCAAAAGTGTCATCGACATATCTGTACCAGTATAGTAGAGGATGAAGCACAGAATGTATTGCCAATATATTCATGACCCAGATCGAAACACAAGCCAGAACGGGTGAAACAGGATTGCCCATACTTAAACCGTCTATTTGAAGGAAATGTTCGTTGTTGAAAATGAAGTTGGTTTTAGTCGTTGTAAATTCTAAGGGAGAAGCAAAAAGTGTGCTGGGGATGTGGATTAACCTTGTTGGGGTCATTAATGTAGAGGTCGAGTGCGATATTGCAAGCTTCATTGGCGGGGACTTCGGTGAAGAGTGACACGACATCAATACTAGCCATTAAGACTAGAATTTAATTGGTTTAGTGTGTATTTGAAATTGAAGGCATCTTTAAAAAATGAACCTGCAGATATTACATATGGTGTGAGAGCCCAGGCTATGTATTTGCCAAGATTGTAGTTGAAGGAATCGTATGTGGACAGTATAGATCGTAGGGTGCAGTCCTGTTTGTATGGTTTAGGAATGCCATATAGTTGTGGTGTGCGTGAATCACTTTTACTGAGATAAAAATAAAGATCTTCAGTAATTAAATTATTGAAAATCACATAATACCAACGTCATTTACAAAACAACACGCAATAACTGCCCAGAAATCTACATCGGAGAAACAGGAAGAAAATTGGAAACCAGATTCACAGAACACAATAAAAAAAACGTCCCATGTTTTCCACTATTGCAACTGAAAAAAACCATAGTATATCTATTAAAAACACAGTAATTTTAAACAAAGAACCCAACATAAACAAACGAAAAATCAAGGAATACATCTTAATTGAACAAAACAACCCTACTCTAAACCAACACCCCGGGGTGCCTAGATACCTCTTCTAAGTTTCGCAAGTTTCAGTCATGTGACTTCTTTGTTCAATACTGTATATATATATATCTATGTCAGTGTAAATTACTTGTACCTGATGATGACAAAACCTTGTCGAAACGTTGTACATTTGCTGTTATGTTAAACTTATATTAAAGTTTTTCTTCATTACCCATTCAAGCCGTCTCCAGCCATTATGTGTCTATTAGTAGTTCGCTATAATCAGTGTGCTATAAACTTCGAAAGCTATAACTGTGAGTTTGATAACGCTTATCAATAGGAAAACTTAAAATATTTGACAAGGAGTATTTATAAATTTTGAACCATACAAATCGTTTAACTTCAGTGGATTCTCATCGGACATTAATATTTCTACGAAAACATTACTTAACTTCAACGGTGGAAAACCTAGCGTGTGTGGCTAAGGACAAAGCTAGCTACCTTCCAGGCGAATCGTACTTACATCAACTTGTACTTAACTTCGATTTCGATGACGAGGAACCCACTTTGAGACTAATAATGGCTGGAGACGGCTTGAATGGGCAATGAAGCAAAACTTTAATATAAGTTTAACATAACAGCAAATGTACAACGTTTCGACAAGGTTTTGTCATCATCAGGTACAAGTAATTTACACTGACATGGATATATATGTATACAGTATTGAACAAAGAAGACACATGACCGGAAATGTTGAATCCAAAATTCACCGCAAAAACACACACACTGG